CCCTCCAGTGCACCCTCCAGTACACCCTCCAGTGCACCCTCCAGTATTCCCTCCAGTGCATCCTCCAGTATTCCCTCCAGTGCACCCTCCAGTATTCCCTCCAGTGCACCCTCCAGTATTCCCTCCAGTGCACCCTCCAGTATTCCCTCCAGTGCACCCTTCAATACACACCCTCAGTGAACCTTTCAGTGCACACTTCATGAACTGCTTTTAGGGAGGAAATGGTTTGGATCTTTGGCCAAGAGAGAGCCTGGGAATACAAACTTAACTCGGCTTCGGCCAGATTGGATTGCCATGATCCTTAAGAATGATGATTATTTAAGTGAATGCACTGTTTTCCAGGTCCCTCTACAGTATACTTTACATGGACCAGAGGGACATGCAGCAGGTCTCTAAATATTGTAAGAAACCCCAGTCTCAAATATGACCCTTCTAAACAAAGTGTCTGGATGCAAACAGACTGGTTGGGACTGGGTTCGAGAGTGAGTCATTGTGATGGGATACCCCAATTACATGGCGAGGGGACACAGAGGCCCTGGTACCCAGGGAGGTACCCTTAGACTTCAGGGGCTGGGGAAGTGGTGGAGCTCTTTACATTAGTTTTGTCTCCTATATTCTATGCCACAATCAGCAACATAGTTGCTTGGTCTAGCTTTCTAGCTTTGATCGAGTCAAATCAAATCCTATGGCCTTTGCGGTTTTGACATTGTCAGGCAGAAAGACATCGTGTTCTGAATCCCAAAGACACTCTATTCTGGGAAAAACATCTTTTGGTGCTTATGAAATTCTCTCCTTTTTAAGTTTTATCCCACAACCTTTCAAAGAGTTTCCAACGTCAGTCTTTTTCTGAGTGTAGCTGCTAAGGGTCATACATTTGTTCTTAGTGGTCAATGTTCCCGCCGAAACCATTTACCCATTTAATTGCTTGGTTTTTAAAAGAGGTTAAGTTTCAAATTGATTTCTTTCATATTGAATAGCCTGCCGAATGCTAAGTAGCAATGAACCAACAGTAAATACCTCATCATCTCCACCACTGATAGGTTCACAATTTAGTAGGGTACACAGATTTGTGAGGCATATGATCATGGGATCAACCCTGCATAAGTTCAGATATGAAACAATCCCAGAGCACAGAGCCTGGAGCCACGGACTGTCCCAAGAAGCCCCCTTAGGGTTTTCTGAGACTCTAAAACTGGCATTAGAAGTGAGTTTGAAAGAGTAAGCATAGAAGAGTGCATGCCAGGGTGAAGGATGGCATATGACAGACAGTCAGAGTCGTGACACTTCCTGGCATGCGCAGAATGGTGAGGAGTTCAAGACAGATGGAAAACAGTATGTGTGGCTATTCCCCAAGAGAAAGGGATGCTCTCCTCACGTCCTCTCAAAGGACATCGGTAATTACAGACAACACTTTTATAATACTTAAGTTGGGGATGTAGCTTAGGGATAAAACACTTCCCTAGCATGCTAGAAGACCTGAGGTCCAGCCTCAGTGCTCCTGAAATAAAAAATACGTATAAATACCCTAACTTAGTCTTAATCTATTAGAATACAAAAATATTAAAGAATATTAAAAACTTGGGAAAAGTAAGCTGCTCATAATTTCACACTGAATGAACACTATGGATGATCTCATTCTTACCCAGTCTCTTTCGATGTCCGCATGTTTTTTTTTTTTTTTTTTTTTTGTTTTTTGTTTTTCGAGACAGGGTTTCTCTGTGTAGCTTTGCGCCTTTCCTGGAGCTCACTTGGTAGCCCAGACTGGCCTCGAAATCACAGAGATCCGCCTGGCTCTGCCTCCCGAGTGCTGGGATTAAAGGCGTGCGCCACCGACGCCCGGCTTGATGTCCGCATGTTTTAACCTTATCTGGTTCCTCAGTGCATAGAACTGTCATCTGCTATGTTCATTTAGCATCGAGTTATTTATTGAATATCACTAAAATTCCTTTAAAAAAAACCACACTACCAAATCACTGCATATCCTTTGATTTAAATATGCATCCTCTGTTAGCCGCTTTAGTTATTTCCCCTTTTTATTTTTTTGGTTTTTCGAGACAGAGTTTCTCTGTGTAGTTTTGGTGCCTGTCCTGGATCTCACTCTGTAGACCACGCTGGGCTCGAACTCACAGATATCCACCTGACTCTGCCTCCCAAGTGCTGGGATTAAAGGCGTGC